ACTCACCCTCACGCCATCCTAGGCGTATATGACTTCCTTTCAGATTAAACCAATCAGAGTTATATTAAAAATGGTCTTTGATATTTCAAGCTGTTTAATGGAAGTCAGCGGGTGTTGCAGTTTATCAGTCCAAAAGAAGTGAAATAAAGTGCATCCATCCATAATAAAAAAAGTGCCTCACATGGCTCCGGGGGGTGAACAAAGGCATCCTGTAGCGAATCGATGCGTTTTTGTAAGAAAAATATCCATAGTCAAAACGTAATAATCACTTTAATCTAGCTTGTGCCAACAGTTGTACACGGAAGCAGCTCCGGGGAGGATGACGTAAGATGTCTGCGTTGTGCATGCGCCGTTAAGTCTCGTGCAAACCAACGTTTGTTTACAGGAGCAAAGGAAACAAAGTTTCCTTACTTTAGCAAAGGAACACCAGTCTCCTCTTGGCTTATTTCGAAATCCTCCAACATTCTTCTTTACAAATCCTCGTTTTGTACTTCTAATTCGTGACCGTTGTTTTGTTTTGATCTCTCGCTGCACTTTTGGGTGAACTAACCCTTTAAGTCAGAGACCGAATTGCGAGTTCATACGCAGTGAACCCAGTGCCAGAGCCACTTTGAACTGACTCTCTTTAACCATCATATGAAAAACTATTGACAAGGACAATGATCTGTTTGACATCAGTTAAGCTTTTAATATTTTTCACATGGCTCCCTTGACACGAGGATACAATAGCTGTTTAACTTGGACAGCTCCTCTTTGTGTCTGTAGGTCACTACTCACCACTCTTTAGCTGTGGCCATGGGTTCAATGTGTATCAGCCTGAATTTATTTCTATTTAATTAACTTTGCACAGACATCAGGCTAGTGGTTTCCTCCTTCTTTCTTTCTTTCAGTCTTTCATAGTTACTATTGTACCAGGAAGTAGAGAGAGTTATAGTAGATATAAAACAACAAATTACATCTGATCTTGTGCCAGCCTTAGTTTGTTAGTGGTATTAAACCTTTAAAAGATCTTTAGAGTTTTGCTTGAAGCACTTCAGAACAAGTACACTAGATGAGAAGAATTCTATAGTATATTATTTCTCTAAAACTGTCTATATTTTTGTAACTTTTCATCAGAAATTCTGATTACAAAGCATTTTCCAGAAAGAAGATCTGGACCACATTTAAACCTGTGTCTCCCACATAAGCACCATGGCTCAACACTAACTGCTAGGCTTACTCCAAGTTTTTTTTTTTTTTTGAGTGAATCTGCTTTTCACATTGTGTCTTTCAGCATGAATATTGTCCTTTATTGCCGAAGAGTGAGAAGTGCTTTTCACAAACGCATGGAAGTAATGTGGAGGTCTTCATGCACAAACACAGATTTCAGAACTACTTAGGTTTTGTGGCTGCTCAGTGCTCCTCTTTCAGTTGTTCTAAGTTTATACTATGGTGACCACAAAAGTATGCCCCATACAACATATTTAACCCCCTTACTACAAAAGAACATTTTATAAATAAGTATTTTTGTTTTCTTTTCCACTAAAGATGCATTGTACTCAAGCTTTGAGGATCAGTTGGGGTCCTTTTCCCCCACTTGTCAAACAAACTTGTTTACCATTTGACTTTATAACTTGTGCAGATATATACACACCCTAACACAAATGTATATGGTCTGTGTTGTACATGAACATGTGTACGCATATGATGAAATATGATCGCTAGGACTTGGCTTTTTCCAGACACTCTAAGCGTGTTTGACCTTGTGGTCAGAGCAGATCTGAAAACATCACAAGCTTTGCCAAAGAGGAATGTGCGTCCATGTCTGCATGTGTTTCTACATATGTACCCTAGGTTTGTGTATTTCCTCCGCCCAGTCTCATACTCTAAGGTTGAATTAGCTAAGTCAAGTTTCTTTGAGCGTCTCCAACTCAAGCACCTGTGAGAAAACTTTACACAAACTCCTTCGGCCCAAAGTCCTATATTTTTGCAGGTGTAGAAAGTGTCTACTTCCTTAATTCCGGTAATGCCCATCTGTCTAATAGGAGAGAGAGAGAGAGAGAGAGAGAGAGAGAGAAGAAAGACAGAGGTGTTTGACCACATCTAGATGAAGTAGCTTATGTTGTACACGACCTTATGTCTAAAAACCACAACATGATGTTCCTTTGAACATGTTTGAATATTATTTCGCTCTGAGCTTAAGAACGTCGTCATGAAGGTTTTGGAGGTTGAGAAATAAGTAGGTTTCACTGACGAAAAGAAGCGAAGAGACCTGAGGGTAGTTGTTTTTCACAATGTTCCCAGTGCTGGTATGATATTACATCTTAAAGGTTTGGTTTATTGTATGTATATATTTGTGTGTTAGAAAGGATCAGTCACCACGGCTGCAGTCTCCTCTCTCTCCAACCACAAAAAGCCCAAATGCCCCCTTCTCTCTTTAGCTCCAAACACCGTTCCAGACATTTGGGTGGTCGGCGTAAGCTAAGCTTTGTTTTTCTTGCTATTCACACATTTTACAATCCTTCAGGGGGAACTTTTCAAAGCTCCCACCACAACTTTGAGTCTAATGTTTAGTTTGCTTTGATTTGAAAATATGTATTTGTTTTTCCCGCCGTTTGCTGGATGATGACAGCTGACGTGTGTTTTGCAGGACGTGTGACATTTTAATGAGTCAGCCATTTTGGGCTGAGGTCCCAGCCTGGCATCTGTCCCTTTCCTTACTGAACAAATACACTGGTTTAGATGCATGCCAAATAATGTGCATGTATTTTGTTGTCCATTTCTATACCAAGGGAAACCCTCCACGACATAAGTCATTGAGGCTTTGCTTTTAACCACAAAAAGTGTCTCCATCATACTTCTCTCATGAAGCAGAAAGACATGAACCAAACTGCTATGAAAATGTTTCAGCAAAACCACAAATGAACCTGAAAACTCCACATATTCTGTCTCCGAAATGTCCACATACCTACTCTGTTCCAAACCTTAGTGAGCTGCCTACGTAGACACTAGACAGCATCATTGACTCAATCCTAATGTAGGCAACAACATAACAAATACTTCCTAAGATAACTTGTTTTGGACAGTATCTTTTGGCCACTATTGTTTTAAACAATGCAGTCCCAGAATGTATTCTGAAATAAATCAATATGGTGAACGAATCGAAAAAAATGGTGATTATAAATATATCTAAGTCATGGTAAATGGGTTTATTCTAACCCATTATTTGCATGTTTTGTGTTTACCTTTATAGTATTGCAGCCAGTTAGCTTAGTAATATGTTTACATGATACTCTATTGGAATCAATTGTGAATCAAAAGTCTCTTATTAGGTTCCACAATTGTTAGGGTGCAGCTCACTAGGTTTTGGAACAGGACTTCAACAAATCATAAAGATCCGGAATTTCCAAAGGTGTCACTGAAAAGGCACGTATCACCCTTGTTTTTGTTAAAACCTAACATTACAAATGAGTTTGAATTACTCAGTATAACTATAAAACAAAAAAACAAGTAATGAAGGACTTTGATGAGTTTGGTGTTCATTATAAAGTCTTATCTGCATTGAATTAGTTCTCTGAAGCTCTCCATACAGTATTGTTTGCCGAAAAGCTTTGCTTAATGCCATTAGGCTGCATTGTCTTTAGCTCTAAGCTACTTTGCACTGACAATAGCCCTGAACCCTAGCCAAAGGGAAGAGAAGCTTCTCTTGCTATTGTGCCGCTTTGCGCAAATTACTTAATTAGCAAACGCGCAAACAGTTACTTCAAGACAATGTGTATTGGATACACAGCACATTATGTGCGCTCTCTGAGGTTTTGTGTACACAGCTCTTGTAGTAGCAGCACTTTGAGCTAGTGCTTTGTTTGGAAGATTAGATACAGGCTACAAGAACTTCCTAGTTTGACTGTTGGTGTCGAATTTAATTAATTAATTTCCTATGAATTCCTATGAATTAATTAATTGCTTCAATATTTAATGCCATTTGCTCAGTTTTGCACCATGCTTTTTACACTGCATTTGGTATTTTTTAAATATTTTTTTCTAATAAAAATGTTTAAAATAAGGGAAGAAATCCTTAAAACAAGATCAGTTTACTATTTTGTATAGTAATATAACTTGTATTCAAAGAATATATCTTGAATGAAGTTTATTTTTCCAACTCTACTGGCATATTTATTTTCTTTTTAAGCATTTTTATTATTATTTTTGCTTTAAAATTAAGATTTATGATTTAAAATAAGGAAAAAAAGCCAATTGGATAAACAAATGCTGATTTTGCAGTGTATTTTTCACTATATATTACGCTTTTTGAACGGAAGTCATGTGAAACATCCCTGTCGTCTCAGGTAAGTGTGTATCTTGACACACCCTACGGGGTCTGTGTTTGTGTTTTTTGCGTAGTTATGCTGCCCTCGATGGTGTTGCATAAATCGACAGTGCAGCCGTACCAGCGTGGGTTCTACTGCGCAGACGACAGTATCCGCTATGCCTATAAAAGCAGCACTGTGCCCTCTTCTGTGCTGACAGCCGTGGGCCTCCTCCTGCCCATTGCCAGCGTAAGTGCCCCAGAGAGGGGCCTCAGACAGGGGACATGGGGCCAGGCGAGTGGGGCGACTGCATGGGAAATCAAGTCTTTTGAGAGAGTTATTATAGTTTATAGCCTTTATATAGGAGAAACTGCTAGTGCATTGTGCCAAATAAACATTAGCGATGTGTAGCCGTTCACTTCTCTCAGAAGCCGAGCTACCATGTCAGACCCCCCCTCCCCTGCCTGGTATTTTCCATAATCCTCGGCTGCCGTGTGCTGTGCTGTGCTGTGCCGCTACCTGCGTGTCTTTCTGTGACAGACCTGATATCTCTTTCTCTCTCTCTCTCGCTCTCTCTCCCCACTCTCTCTCTTTGTGTGCGTGTGTGTGTGTGTTTCGCTGTAGCTGGCCTGCCTTTCCTGATAATTGAAACTAGCACAATCAAGCCGTACCATCGCGGGTTTTACTGCAGTGACCAGTCCATCCAGTACCCGTATAAAAACGGGGACACCATAAGTGATGCCGTGCTCTGTGCCGCTGGCATTCTAATTGCCATCCTCTCTGTAAGTTCCTCTCTTATATATATATATATATATTCATATAAATATACCACTAATTCATATAAACATCCCATCTTCATCCCTCACCCCCTATTAGACCATTAGTAGAATAACTGATTAGTGATTAGTAAAATAACTGTAGAAATAAATGGTGACTTGTAGCATAGAATTCTACCCATAATCCTTCTTAAATCTATTAACCAGTCCTCCCCATCCCATCTTTTTATTTAAAATATTTGAATAACTCAACATCAAGAGATTTATCATGGTCAGGGCTGTCGCTGTCTCTCTTCTTCTTTCTGTCTCGATCTTCTTCTGTCTTTTTTGTTCTGTCTTCTTTTGTCTGCATGTATTTTGTGATATATTGCTCTTTTTGTGTTTTAACTTTTTTAAAACAGCAATGCTGAGTTACTGTATAAAATGTTATAAATCAGTAATATATAGATAGAAACCTTGTGAAAGAGAAGTACACTTTAGCATACTTTTAAAAAGAGTGCTTATGGAAATAATATATTTTTATAGAATAGACATGAGTGCAAACTGAATGTAACGTTTTCCTGACAAATGCTGACAAGCATTTATGGTAAACAAAAATGTTATGTCATTTCTATTGAAACTGTTGTGTCATGTATTTAAATATATTTGTAAATAGACATTTAAAACGATCACGTTGCCATGTAGTACATTTAAAATATATTAACTTTAAATGTAATATTGATTAACATGGTGCAGTTAAAATTAAAATCAAATCCTTCACATGTGATATGTTAATAAGTGTTGTTCTTTAAAGGAAAATATGCTTAATTGTCATGAAAAGATCAAAATGCTAAATAAATAAATAAAATCCTAATGGTCCCAAATATGATTTTCCTAAACCTTCATATTTATCTTGTTTCATATTTATAGTTTCTTATATTTTACCCCAAAATAAAAAAAGAAATGAGCAGGATATCTTGACAGATTTTGTGAAATACACCTAATTTAGTGAATAGAATGTTTTTTTTAAAAAAGGGCAAAGTCTCACAGAATTCAATTTGAGTGCAGATAAATCTGGATAAGCGATTAAACCACCCCACAGCTGCTGAGGTGTTAAATTAGTCGACATTGACAGCCTTTGTGACAGCTGCCAAAGAGTTAACCTCTTACAAATGAACCCAATCACCTGGAGGACACGTTCAATGAAGAAGAAGAAAGAATGCAACATTAAACCTACTTTTTAGCTCTTGTGAAACTCCAAAACAATATCTGAAAACAAAAATTCAACATGCCAGGCAAATCCCTTGTGGAATAAAGTGGTGGAGATTAGGGAAGTGGTCTTGCAGTAAGCTGGCATGACACCAAGCCATGACTCCATGGAGATCCCATATGGAGACATGCATGCCTCACTGTCTGGAGTAGATATGTTCCCATGCTCAGCAATTCTCCTGATTAAAACAGGGACTGTGTGTGTGTGTGTGTGTGTGTGTGTGTGTGTGTGTTTGTGTTTGTGTTTATTTATTTTTGTATAATTATAAATGTATTTACTGTCACTTTTTATCAATTTAATGTATCATTGCTGAATAAAAGTATTCATTTCTTTCTGGAAAAAAAACTTACCTACCCAAACAGTTTGAACAGCAGAGTATATAATTTACTTTATGCAAACATTTTGTTTTTCTTGAATTTGAGGTAGAAATGTGACTTTGACAGTTAAAAAAAAATGAATATGAAAGAAAAGAGTAAAATAGAACTGTATCTTTATTTCCATTCAACAAATTATGATCTGTCTTTAGGTGATTATTTTCACTTCTGTAGGGATTTGAGTTACACAGTGTGATTATTATTCCACTTTTTATTTCTTTCTGTCCATCCTTCTCTCATTCTGTCTTTGTGGACGAGGGTCCTTCTAGGGTTCCTTTGAGATCTGATGTGCCCATCTAATCAAAAGCTTGTAAAGAGCCCAAATCACATGTCGGCTTTAGCCAGGGTGTTGCGCGCTGGTGTGAGTGTGTATTAAAGCTATTTATGTCAACACATTGATGGAGACTCTTGGATTTATGTGTGAAAGATGCATCTTTATTTTTCTGCTCTTTTCTCTTGTCTCTCTTCATGCGTGTATGTCTCTTTCTCCATTCTTTCTCTATGTGTGTGTGTGTGTGTGTGTGTGTGTGTGTGTTGGCACCCCCCACACAGCTGTAGTTAATTAGCAGTGTCTCCAGTCCTAGTTTGGTTAGGCCTCAGGGAAAGCAGACCCACTCTTCACTACCACCACAACAGCGTTCCTCTACAGTTTGAAGAGAGAATGAAAAAAGAGCGTGAGAGATAGTAAATATCTCATTAAGGCATGGTTTATGTACTTCATAACCCATGCCTCTCTGCTCAAATTTACGTCCTACTGGTTTCAAATGGTGCAGACCACCGTTTTAAAATCCCATGCTCTAACTGCTCATATGAAAGCCATAACCTTTAGAAACATAATATGTTCCATATCATTAAAATATCACCAGCAATGGGCAGGCCATGCTCAGTCATAACTCAAGTTACTCGTTTTCTCATTCCCTCATTTCTTTCACTCATTTCTTCTTGCTTTTTTGATTAATGTGCTTTCCTAACTGATACTTCATGTGCATGTTTGTCTAACTCCCCCCTGCATGCCCATGACCTGACCACTGAAATCTTGTGATATTACACACGACACGTTAATGTTTGTGGTATGACTTTACGAATTCACCATCACTTATGATCTTAATGACATTCAGCTCTGTTCTAAAACCTAGTGAGCTGTCTTGCTTTCTAGTAGCTATATAGGCAGCTGCCTACACAGGCGTCCTAACCATCATTGAACCTGATGAGCAATTTGGAACACTATGTAGGCAGCAGCTCTGAGCATCACACAAGTTGGTTCAAGTTGATTTCAAAAGTGTTTGTTAGCATGTTGCTAAGCTAACAGCATATTGTGTGAGGCAATTTTTAATTACACTGAACAAATGTATTGATACTTTTCAGTATTGATGAAATGTTTATTCATAATCAACATCTCTGCTCATTTACCATCTTTGTCCACTGATCTTTGCGCAGTGCATTTGATTAGTCTTTTTCATGATTTTCGCTAGGTTTTGGAACAGAGCCTGTATGTATTATTAATCTCAGCTATCAGTAATTTTTGTTTCCATTGTAAATTAACCGTTCTCTAGATTGTGATTGGCGAATGCTACAGGATCCATTACCTGAACCAGGGCTCCAAGTCATTCGTGGGAAATCCATATGTCTCCGCCCTTTACAGACAAGTGGGCGTGTTCATCTTCGGCTGCGCCGTCAGCCAATCATTCACAGACATTGCCAAGGTCTCGGTTGGACGGATGAGGCCGCACTTCCTAGACGTTTGTAAGCCTGACTACTCTACCATCAACTGCTCTCTGGGATATATTACTCAATACACATGTCTTGGAAATCAAAGCGAAGTACAAGAAGCCAGGTGAGATATTTAACACTCACATGCACGTGGGATAATAAAATGTCACAGTTTCTACAAAAATACTAAGCAGCACAACTGTTTTCAACATTGATAATAATAAGAAATGTTTCCTGAGGAGCAAATCAGCACATTACAATGATTTCCGAAGGCTCCAAGACTTTCAAAAACATTAAAATATTTTTAAAAAGTTGTTCAATATTTGTAATAAATAATATAAATATTGTTTTTCCCATTTAAAAATATATTAAAATAGAAAGCAGCCATTTTAAATTGTAATCATTTTTCACAATATTACTGTTTTTACTGTGTTTTGTATCAAATAAACGAAGCCTTGGTGAGCATTAAAGACTTTCAAAAACATTAAAATATTTTTTAAAAGTTGTTCAATATTTGTAATAAATAATATAAATATTGTTTTTTTCATAGAAACGTAACAAATAAATCAATTAAATGTTTTTATGTATTTAATAATAAAACATTGTTGATTAAATGTTTTTTTTTTCTTCCTACAGGAAATCCTTCTTTTCTGGACATGCTTCATTTTCGATGTACACCATGCTGTATCTGGCTGTAAGTACATACACTGTGTGGTGCTCTCACACTGCCACAGTTCTGTTAATTTACAAAAGAGCTGTTTTTTCATGACTATTATGTTTAGTATGAAACAGGGACCCTCTATCACCCTTTCACCCTCCTCTGTGGGTCTCTGAAATGTGGGTCACTCTTATTTTCCCTGTTCATCTCTGGAATGGACACACTTTGGTTTTTATTTGTGCAGCTGTGTAGACTTCCCTTCTGTCTGAAGTTGTCCTTCATTCCACTTTCATTCCTTATGCTTTATATACACACTTTTTTACACCAATTATGCAGAATCCCCAATATAGCTTTACATACACACAAAGCCAGATTTCGCTCAGCCTCCCGGAGTCTCTCACTGTATGTAAAGCCTCTTTCAAAGGCTTCAAACTTTTTCCCCTTTCACACCCAAGGCCCTCCACTCCTCCCTCCTTTTATTCTAATCCTTTCTTTCTGCATCTAAATCATCAGCATCTCCATGGGCCCCTCCACCTTTCACTCTTTCAGATGGCAGGAGGTGGAGCCGCTCTGCTAATGGAGGAGGCCAAATGTTCATTCTCAGCGTTTTGAGATATTATTTGAGAAAATTAGGAGGGTGATAGAGAATATGCACGTTTGAGTGTGTTCAAGACCACAAACCTGTTCAAACTCATGCAGATTTGGTTCTAATGCTCTCAAAACAGCCATTAAATTAATGTGTGACTTTGACAGCTGGGCCTGACGCCCGAAACACTGACCTGAACACTTCCTAGACAAGAGGAAACAGTATGTTAAGAACCAGACCCCTGGCAGGTTCTGTTGAGTGTTTTGTGACTAAAACGATCCGTATTTACACATAGACCCACTGTATTTTAAACCATAGTGATTAGCCACAAAGCAGGAGAGATGTCAGCCAATGTTACACATCATTACTCATGGAGAACAGCAAGCATATATATCTTCTATATATCTTTAAAACAGATTTTCAGCATGCAGTCACTTGGCGGTTTTGGGTCTGAATTATCATCTTGATTTGAAAGCCTGGACTTGTGTCTCTGAGGGGCAAATTGTTCAGATGTTATCAGAAACCCTGGCCAGATTTGTCACAGCCGAGGCCAAAGTGTAGTCAAACTCCATTATAAAATGTGAACATGTGAATAGACTATTATGTTAAGATACAGGGTGACTCGCTAAAATTATTTTACCATCTGCTCTTGGCCTTCAGAGTTAATAACGAGAGGCCAAGAGAGAACGCTCTGAGATATCGAAGCACAAAGCATGATAAACAGAATTACAGACCTGAATAAATCTGAAGAACGGGAAAAACAAGTGGAGGAAAGTGCTCTTTGAGTAGACCGATCAAGCGATACAGTCTTATTGACTGGAGCATTACCCTTCCCAGCCTTGCTCCCTGTAATTATCTCAGTCTAGCTGTCATGCTTCATAGGTCAGACGCTGAAGTCATTATGAGAGCTCACACCAGTCTTGTCATCCCCTTTTATTTGCACAAATGTAACCCTAGGTCAAAACTAGACTCTTTGTTCTCGCCAAATTTCGTGAATGAATCATTCTGGCACAGTACCTCAAAACAGAACCCACACCTGTTCCGACATGTATTAATACATTCAACTCACTTTTTTTTCTCTCGATTTTCCTTGTAAAAAACCATAGTGGTTTCATAGAAACCTAGATGAATTTCAATTGAATCTGCACAATTTTTTTTCACGCAGTTTTAAGGTTTGTAAGGTTTTGCTTTCGCCCCTTGCAGTGGATCAATGTCAGTTTTAAAACTATGACTTCTCTTTTTCATTGTTAAATCATTGTTTTCAATAAAAATAATGTTATATATCATGAAACTGCAGACATTCAGAAACGATAACTGCTATAAGTGTTGTGTGTGAAAAATGCATAAAATTATACAATTTATTTAGTAATTTATAATGTTACAGAAGATTTCTATTTCAAATAAATGCTGTTTTTTAAACAGCAAATATTCATCAAAAAATATATCACAAAAATATTAAGCACCACAACCTATTTCACCATAAATAAATGTTATTTTGAAAAGCTATTAAATTATAAAAAAAGAAAAAAATCTATAAGATATTGATCAGATCATGGTCTGATATTGAGATCATAGTCAGGTTAAGATACTTAAATATAATAAGTTGAGTTCTGCCCCCTAGAGTGACTGCTAGTACTATACATTTATGCGGTTGAATTTTGTATTTAAGGGTCTTAGTGAACCACAATATCGATGCAGCTCAACACCAGAGTAGCTGGTCAACCTCATGTGTTCATTGAGTTGGAACAGCATATCAGTTATTGTTATTGCAATAGCAACTTGCTAGTTGCTAGTTATTGTTCTGGATAGCAAGTGTATGTGAGTATTTTGTGGGTAGCAAATTTCCTAGCCTCTCTATGACCTCCACCCTCCATAGTCCAATGAGTTCTGGTTTGGCTGCTGCATCACTGCACCTCTCAGACCGCATGGTTGCGCATTATGCTCTCGTTAGTAGTAGTGACCAGAGAACAGTCGGTGAATGATATGAGACCATGGGCAGAGTAGAAACAAGCTCAAACCACTCACAGGCAAATCTGCTGTTTTCAAGCTTATTACTCTGTATATTGTGGTCATTGACATGTGGCAAGGCAGCGTTGGCTTTACAGTAATATTTTTGGACCTGAGGCCAGAATAGAAAAGGTTCTAGCTGTGAAGTTTGACTGTTTTCTGCCAGAACTGGCAAGATTCAAGTGCAAATACACTTCAGGATGACCCACAAAACCATGCACAGCGCCATGAAAAACCTGTCTTTCCTTTCAAAATATTGCAAAATAAGTATAGTTTTCCTCGCACTCACCTATTTGGTTAAGCTAATATGATTTATTATACCACATCTCTCTTGCTTTTTCTGTTTCCCACCCCAAGTTGGACTGAACATCCCATTTTGTGGCTGCTTATATGACCTGAAGAAGTCAGTTGCTGGGCTTAAAGGAACAGTTTATTCCTATTGTTCCAAACCTCTATGACTTTCGTTTACAGAACCCAAGGATAAAGCTTGATGACGGTACTGGTCACTCTTTTCCATGCAATTACAATGAACTGCAATTACAATGGGACTGAATCTTTCAATCTTAAAAAGGATGCAAAAGCACGTAAAAAGTATCAAATGGAGTCTGTATGAGTCAGATACTATGTTCCGAGTCTTCTGAAGTAATACAATAGATTTGTGTAAGAAACAGATTGAAATTAAAGTTGGTTTTGGCTAAAAAAAATTAAAAAATAAAAAATAAAAACTTCTGGCTTAGCTTTCCTTGGTATGCTTATGAGAATTTTGTCAAAAGTAGCAATGTTTAATTCATGAATACATATTTTTTATTCATTGTGCTCTTTTTAATAAATCTAATTCACAAAAATATCTGAATGATTCATTCATGAACACAGCTGGCCTGGTTTTTAAAGCGGTAGTTCACCCCAAAATGACAATTCTCTTATCATTTACTCACCCTCATGTCATTCCCACCCTATCAGACTTTCATTCATCTTTGAAACACAAATGAAGATATTTTTAATGAAACCTGATTGATTTCTGTTCCTCCAATAAATGTCCATTCCACCGAAACTGATGCTTTGAAAATTTCATAAAGACATTGAGTTCATATCAATCCAAGTTGTTTTTAGGAGGATCGCTTTATTTGATGAACAGATTTAATTTATATGATGCATATAATTTACATTACATGCATCATATAACTTCAGAAGACTAGAAAAATAATGCACAAGGTATATGAACCACTTTCATGACTCTTTTGTGGTGCATTTAAATCCTTTTTTGAAACTGTTGAAAAGAATGACTAGTATGACTAGAATAACTAGTACAGTTTTTGAAAACTAATCCTTTAATAGCCCGCCAGGATCTTTTCCATTGTCCCATTTGATACCTCAATATCAGCTCTGATGGTACCACCCAGATCGCCTGCAGGGAGGGACTGGATGGAGACTGTCAGCAGGATGCAGCATGTTATCTGCACAAGAGTGTGTTACTTCTCATGAGGGCACAGGGTGTGTGTATGTGTTTGTGTTTTGAGTTCGGTTTGTCGCTGAAGAATCTAAGACCACACCGTCTGCCATTCCTGCCACCACCACCTCACAAACACACAGAGATGAGAGAGCCATATACACCCCACAACGTCTGCGGCACGTTTGGCTTATCTGAGCTCTGATAGCAAGATGCTAAGAGGCAGATTTGATGGACTGTATCTGAGCCCTGAGGGTCCTCAGGCTCTGCTGTTCTTATCAGCTCTTGGATGCCTACATGTGGAGAGGACCCCGCTCTCGCCCTGAGGAACAGAGCCACTTCAAGAGTTTGGAGAAGTCACCGAGCTCATCTCTACATCTCCAGACTCAGACATGCTGGCTTACGGCTAAGGAGATGAGCGTCAGACGTCACCCTTCCATGACCTCTTACAGTCCAACATATACCAGAACTCTCTCTTTTTGCCACTTTAGTATAGAAAAGATTTATATTAGGGGTGCCACAAGTCCCGATACAAAAAAAAAAAAAAAAGAAAAAAATGCTTTCAAGAACTTAGAAACATGCTGAATTCATAGTTCTTCTTTTCTGCCACTCCTTATGGCGGATAATATCCAGAGGCCATGGTTGTCTTGTTTGTGTTGTGGCCACTTGTTGATTTTTAAAGTGAAGTGACAATAACATTCCTCTCATTGTGCTTCATTGCGCAACATTCACTGTGGGTGCGAAAGAGAGCATGAGAATGTCACTGTTGGCTCTAAAGCTCAATTCTTTATTTTGGAGAACCAATCTGCTATTTCTTCTATTTTCTATTATTTATTAGGTTGGAAAACACTGGAAGCCTTCATAAATAATTCGAACAGTAAACATAAAATTATTTTGTTCTCAGTTTGTCATGTGTGACGTGAGACAAAAATCTTAATAAAAAAGGCAATAACAAAACAAGAACATAAAAAAATTGGAAAGGAAAACCTCAGGGATTACTCATCCAGTTCTACATTTTAACAATCCTAATTTATTGATTCACTTTTGTAATTTAGTTCGCAGTCACGGCAGACAGACCTCCGTCTCCATAAGCCACAGATCTGCGGTTGAAGAGCATTCCGTTGCATTCACATGGCCTGATCAAAGATATAATTGACACGTTTGTTTGCAAGTTCTCCTCAGGAACTTTTTTAGGCATAGGAATGCCAAATGTATGAAAGTCTGTGGTTGAAATAGCTACAGATGCTTGGTTAGAAAATCTCTCTTCACTGCCAACACTGTGGCTGAGCTGGACCGAAATCAACACGAGTATGAATTTATTTATTTATCTTTTGCCTCAGATGAACTTTAGCCATATAATCAAGCAAGTATCTCCATTTCAGTCAGTCATCTATGACATCTAACTCTTCTCTTTAGCCAGCTGTAAACCCAACAGCTTGTATACAGTAGCGTGAGAGGAATAAACGATTGCTGATTCAGGCAAAATGGCTTAAAGCTTTGTTTCAGCGTATTTTTAAGGACTTCCTGCTTTGGGCCACAATATAATGTGAAATAATGAGACAACAGGCCATATGTTGATTCCAATCGGTTTGAGGCAAAAATGCACAGCCGCACATAAACAGCCATAGATGCTTATCACTCTACCATCCTTCCATTCTGAGGAGATATTTTTATGAGATAAGATCAGTTGGAAATGATTGAGGAGGCCTCTATTTCTCTTCAGTCTGGTGTGAACATATTTGCCTTATGTAGCAGTAATGTTAATCTTCTGCCTAGTTAAATACTCCAGAAATCCAAACGGCATTGCATTGCTTTCCATCTCTGTTTCTTTAGTTCTACCTGCAGTCTCGGTTCACGTGGCGAGGAGCCCGTCTGCTGAGGCCACTCCTGCAGTTCACCTTGCTAATGATGGCCTTCTACACCGGGTTATCACGCGTTTCTGATCACAAGCACCACCCCACTGATGTGTTAGCTGGCTTTGTCCAAGGAGCCCTGGTGGCCTACTGCATAGTGAGTACATCAATGTATTTCAATCAATTTCAGGCTTCCTTAAATAAGATTAAGTATCTAAGGAGACAAGAGGCTGTTGTGATTAATCTTGAATTTGTTTTATTGGTTGGAAAGTAAACCAATCTGGAAATTTTGTACTTTGCGACATTTAATAACCATTGGCCTTGATCTGGTTGTCATCACAACATCTGGATTTTTTTTCTAATATTGGTTAACAAACATTTTGACACAGTGTTAACACCAGAACTAATTAAACACTCCTTTCGTAAATATGCTGGCAATTACCAACCCAACAAGTTTGACAATATAGCATGTTTTCCCATTTCCCACCCTTCACTTTAAAACATGAAAAGGTTTTTCTTTTTCTGTCTGTATAGTTAGTGATAGTCCATGAGTATGTTTGAGCTCGACTCAAGGCAGATTTTTCAGATAACTTGTTAAAAGAAGAACCATTATGAACAGACTTTATCTGGTGTCTTTAGAGTGAAGTGAAGACAGAAGACCATCTGGAGTTTGAGATCGGAAGGGAATCTGAATATCTGGAACCAGACCACAATGTTCTCCAGACCCCACCCTCTCACTTTTTCACTCATATCCACAAAATTACTCATCCATCAGAGTGAAGCATAATCTTTTTCTTGTTAATCCAGAGCATATTACCTCAATTGCACCATTACCAACTCTCAAATGAAAACAGGAGGGGGAGGGTTGTGGAAAAAGGAATTTTACACTTCATAATTGTGGCACATGTCACTTTTGTTGGTGCCAGACTTTCCCTGCAGTAAGCAAAGCTTCACTTAGTTGGATTGTGTTTGGGAAAATTGAGTCGAGGGGAGCTGAGCGTACAAAGAGGGGGGGCATCTTGTCTTTGGGAGAAATTACTGGGTTAAATATTCATTTGAGAAACAGATGAAGGGTTTCAGGACTGATGGGCCGCCGGAGCATCGTCAACTGTTTGTCCTCCTGACCCCCATCCTCCACTAGTCTTTGTAACCCCCAATCATTTGTTTTCTTAACCTAATGAGTCTTCCTGTTCCCAGAAAGCGAGCTCTACAAGGGGTCCTTGGATTTAGGTGACTAGAGAAAGAGAGACTTTTTTTTTCAGTCCTGTTCAGCGCAACTTTGGGTTCTCAGTTTTTCACTCTCAGCTCCACCTCCCATATTTTTTTCTCCACCTTCTTTTGTTTTGTTTTGTTTTATTCCTCAAACTTATTGTATTAGCTGTTATGTAATAAAAACACAAGTTGTACAAATGTTCCCATTGTTTAAATTGCTTTCCATCTCTGTTTCTTTAGTTCTACCTGCAGTCTCGGTTCACGTGGCGAGGAGCCCGTCTGCTGAGGCCACTCCTGCAGTTCACCTTGCTAATGATGGCCTTCTACACCGGGTTATCACGCGTTTCTGATCACAAGCACCACCCCACTGATGTGTTAGCTGGCTTTGTCCAAGGAGCCCTGGTGGCCTACTGCATAGTGAGTACATCAATGTATTTCAATCAATTTCAGGCTTCCTTAAATAAGATTAAGTATCTAAGGAGACAAGAGGCTGTTGTGATTAATCTTGAATTTGTTTTATTGGTTGGAAAGTAAACCAATCTGGAAATTTTGTACTTTGCGACATTTAATAACCATTGGCCTTGATCTGGTTGTCATCACAACATCTGGATTTTTTTTCTAATATTGGTTAACAAACATTTTGACACAGTGTTAACACCAGAACTAATTAAACACTCCTTTCGTAAATATGCTGGCAATTACCAACCCGACAAGTTTGACAATATAGCATGTTTTCCCATTTCCCACCCTTCACTTTAAAACATGAAAAGGTTTTTCTTTTTCTGTCTGTATAGTTAGTGATAGTCCATGAGTATGTTTGAGCTCGACTCAAGGCAGATTTTTCAGATAACTTGTTAAAAGAAGAACCATTATGAACAGACTTTATCTGGTGTCTTTAGAGTGAAGTGAAGACAGAAGACCATCTGGAGTTTGAGATCGGAAGGGAATCTGAATATCTGGAACCAGACCACAATGTTCTCCAGACCCCACCCTCTCACTTTTTCACTCATATCCACAAAATTACTCATCCATCAGAGTGAAGCATAATCTTTTTCTTGTTAATCCAGAGCATATTACCTCAATTGCACCATTACCAACTCTCAAATGAAAACAGGAGGGGGAGGGTTGTGGAAAAAGGAATTTTACACTTCATAATTGTGGCACATGTCACTTTTGTTGGTGCCAGACTTTCCCTGCAGTAAGCAAAGCTTCACTTAGTTGGATTGTGTTTGGGAAAATTGAGTCGAGGGGAGCTGAGCGTACAAAGAGGGAGAGCATTTTCTCTTTGGGAGAAATTACTGGGTTAAATATTCATTTGAGAAACAGATTTATCTGTTTTTCTGCATTGTAAGGGGACGGTGCAAAGATTTGAGGCCCATATGATAGGGGGAGGCAAGAGACCAAGACCTCTTCCCCCAGATATCACCCCATCTTAATTCTTACAGCATCTGAAAGACAAATATCTAAATTGTTAGTGTTGAAATTGGGATATTGAGTTGTTTCTCAACATTACAATTCCCAGAATGTTCTAGCAGTGTCTTTCTTCACTCTAATTAGCTGTGACAGGGCCACACTTTTTATGGTACACAGATGTTCGCCAAACATCTCTCTACTGGTATCATGAACCTTCAAAATATTTAATCTTCAGCCCTTGAATTTGCTGTGTGGTTCAGTTTTCAGTTGGCTCTTGTCCCTATTTATTGGCATTTCAGTTTTTCCAAGAGCAGTTTAGGTTTTCGCCAACCCTTTAATAACCTCATTAAGAAGGACATTTTTAGTAAAACAGTCTTGTTTTACTTAAATTATCCATCCATTTCTGATGGTCTTGATTGTCTTTGAGCCCCTCAGGTTCAAGGTGTAGGAACTAGTCTTTGACACCTGGAGAAGTTTCTCCCCAGTGTGAAAAACCAGAAAATAGCAGATAAGTACAAATAAGAGAGAGCAGAAATGTGACCCTGGACCACAAAACCAGTCATAAGGGTCAATTTTTGGGGTCTGAATAAATGAGCGTTCCATTGATGTATGGTTTGTTATTATAGGACAATATTTGGCCGAGATACAACTATTTGAAAGTCTGGAATCTGAGGGTGCAAAAAAAATCAAAATATTGAGAAAATCGCCTTTAATGTTGTCCAAATGAAGTTCTTAGCAATGCATATTACTAATTAAAAGTTAAGTTTTGATATATTTACAGTAGGAAATTTACAAAATATCTTCATGGAACATGATCTTTACTTAATGTCCTAATGATTTTTAGCATTAAAAAAAATCAATAATTTTGACCCATACAATGTATTTTTGGCTATTGCTACAAATATACCCCAGCGACTTAAGACTGGTTTTGTGGTCCAGGGTCACAAATGAGATCCTTTTCATTACAGATCAAGGCACCCATATACTTGTTTTTAACGAGCCTACATTTGGAATCTGTTCCGCTCCCCATCTGTGAACGCTTTAGAGGTCCAATTAAAGTATCTCTAATGACCAAATATAAAGGTAATGCAAGGTACGCGTCTTTTAAAAGAAAAGTTATGTCGCCATACATCACGCATTGGTTTCACACCGTAGGCTGCAGTGCTGCTTATCCAAACTTCTCAGCAAGTAGTCTCCGACAGTTCATGGTTTGGAGGTGCAGCAATTCTTCTAAACTTGGCTGTAGGTGCTGATTTCTGCTTAAGGGGGTTGTGTTTAAAGACGTTTAAAGGTTGTAAGTGCTCTGGGTCGGTGTCCAACTGGCTGGCTTCAAAGAAACCGTGGAAAGTTACAGGTCTTGGTGAGTTTTGGCCGTATTGCAAAAGCTGATTACAGGCTTACTGCATGTTCCATATTAAAGAAGATCAGTTCACATGGCGCAGTTTAGACTGCGATGCCCACAGAGAACTGATCTCAGAACAGCAATTAATGTCAGTCTGCTTATGTATCATGCAAGGGAAACTTAAAGCGTTGAGCAGCACAATGTTAACTTGGCCATCAGTTTCGTTCAATCTCAAAAGGAGGCTCCTGAATTCCTACATTCCGTTCCTTATACTCAGGCCTGGCTTGTATCAGGAATTTTGGCAAGAGTAACTACAATGTTACGATTGCTGAAGTCAGGCAGCCTGGCATATGTTTAAATTCTGATGTCTAAAAGAACCCCTGAGATTCAGACTTTAGAAACCGCATTTTCCTTCTTTGTCTTTGTGGCCACATCCTCCAGTCCTTCCTGTTGGAGAGTGGCGTAAGCTGTTTGTTCATGTCATCAAACACGGCCCTCTTTCTAAGCTGCTGACATGGAAAGAGAGAGTGTGAGAGGTTGGCTGCTTTTAAGGCTCGGTTGCAGAGGTGTTTCCTGAAGGACTAGACAAGGGTGGAAACAGCTGGAGGCCTGCTCTCAAACAGCCTTTTCCTCTTCCCACTCTCTCTTTCTCTATCAGTTCCTGGTTAACAGTATCCCACCGTTCCTCAAAAGCAAAAAGGGTCATGTTCAATATTCAGGACTCCAGTTCCTCCTGCGATAACGGCCTGCAGCTAAGTGCTTCTGGTCTGGCTTGGGTGGCAAGATGGTTGTCCCGATATCCTATCACTCCCTCCCATATGTCAGGCCCGAACTTGACTCTTTTTTTTTTTTTCCATTGGCTGCCACAGCACTCTCCATGTAGCTATGGTAATGGAGGCCATCTTAAACCGAAATAGTGTGGTTGTGTGTAAGAAGAAAGGAAATTTTAATGGTGTTATTAAACTTTGCTAATGTTACGCTGGAGAGCGAAGCAGCCAAAACGCAACTTGGTCTCCACAATTATCATGCAGATGTGGCTCAGGGCCTGAGACTACAATTTAAGTCACGCATAACATAAGCAACACACTTTCACACATAATCATGTGCTGTGTTTGGCACTTTTAGGATCAGGCACACCCAAACCAATGGAAGACCACACACATATGCACCCACACCCAGACATATCGTCTATGAACCTGCTCACAGTTCAGATGAATCCCAACTTCCCAAGTCTATGAAGCCATCAGTAAAAAGCGGCAGAAGTTCATTCGAGCCGATGTCAGTGGCAGAAGTGAGGTTCATTTCAGATGAGTTTAGATGGAGTTAGTGTGCCCTCCCAGCTCTGGGATACACAATAAGTGTACATTATGATGATCTTTTGACTCATTTTGGCAGAATTGTTGGATGGTGACAATTTATTTGGTGTCATTTCTTGTCTGATTAAGGGAATGTGTGAGACAGTGCCGGGTGGAGCAGTTAGTTTGCCATGAAATGATATCAAACCACTTTAATACAATATAATACAGAGATGGAGACTAAAAATAGTAAATTAGGCAACTTGACACCTTGGTATTTTCACATATGTTACAGTTTAAAGAGAATGTGTCTTAGAAAACACATTTTGATCTTGTTTAATTTTGGTCAAAAAACACAAAGCTCTCTCTCCAGTCTAAAAATGGGTGTTCCATCACATCCATGAGCACTTTAACATGGCCAATCATAAGTGAGTCATTTACATATATAGTAGATTTCTTAAAGGTTCAGTAGCAAAAACACAATATATTTTTCAGTCTTGCTTATTTACTCAAATGTAACTGTCCGAGAAATGGTGTAAAATGTTTTTGTTTATTAGGTTTATTTGGAGCTGCAGTAATATGCTGCAGTAACAGACCCTAAAGGTGCATCTTAATTCTTCCCCCAGTTAGTGGAACCACAATAAGGTCAGCACACACACACACAGGCTTAGACAAACACGCAAAACAGCTTCCTGGTGCTGACTGAGCATTCGTACACAATGGAGCGGGTTTGCTGTGGAAGAACACTTTCAGGCAGAGGGCCGTGGCACAGGAAGCACTCACCCCGTGACACAGGTTCATTGGCAGCCTGTGATTACAGGTCAGAGGTTGTAGTGCATCAAAAAACCTATTGTGCGAGACGACTCTTGAGTCATGCTGGACAGTAAGGCTGAATGCAGGCCTGCAGCTGATGGCATATGTGATAGTTAGCACATAATTACACACAAATCCAGATATGGAGACGTTTGCCCATTATCAGATGCTCTGTCTTGCAACAGCCCTGTCAATATAAAACACAATTCGTTTCAAATATTGAGTGAATTTTCAGAAAATTTTGCATAGAATGTTGTATGTGTATATTCTAATTGCTATAAATAAATTGCATTAGTCTAAATCGCATACAGTGGATTCAAAATATCTAGACACATATGCATTTTAAAAAACGATAATACAGGCAGTAAAAGCCACCGAACACCCTAATATACATAATTTATATTAAAAATGTGAAGAAACATTTATGTAAAATAAAATAATATGTTATGCATCACTCTGGGAATGTCCTTTTATTGTTTTTCACTGCAAATTATACCGTAATTCAGTTTTTACTTGCAGAAACCATAAATTTGTAAAATTACATATAAGGTGATGTTAAACTCTTAACAGTTTCTCACCATATATAGTAAGGTAACTTGCAGTTTTTCACTCTGAAAAAAATTACACATTTTTTGTAAGCCATATGCATTATTTGTATAACAAAGTATCAAACCAAGTGGCATTTATTTTAAAGAAATATAGTACAATTGCATTTTTTAAGCAAAATTTTTTAACAAAAAGTATTTAAATTATGAAACAATATATCGTTTGGCCTTGTCAAGCGACATACTTGCTCTTATAATGAAATCCTTCATAATTGCAAACTAGCAGAGTTTCTAGATCCAGTTTCCTGATGTCATTCCAGCGCAATGTAAAGGTCACTCTGGAAATGTCATGATCTTTCTGGCGTACTTTCACTCATATGGCCAGAAGACGGTCGCAGGAGGCCCTATAGGATGAACTCATCCACTGTAACCTTTGGATAAAGCTCTCTTTGTATGTGAGCACAACGTCTTTCACTGAAAGGATATGCAAGAAACGGCTGCTGGAAAGATGATTCCGAAACTCTGATGGCCTCTCTAAGGCTTTCTGTTCTGTTTCTATCTCTTTCCACAGACACAAACCTGTTGATAGTCACCGCTTACTTGCTCAAGCCTGTCACTCTCATAACCAAATAGGAAATCCCTCTTTTTTTTAAATCTGTGTGTGCTTTTTCTTCTCCCTTGGCATTTCCCAAGAGCAGTATGATTCTGGTGCCGTGGTTGACAGCAGCTCCTGAAACATGTCAGGACAATTTAGCTGTTAGCTACCCCAAACACTGACCTCTTTACCTGTCACACACTGGCCCCATACTCTTCACACACTCATAAATAGCGTGTGTTTACTCATTGGCAGGCTTTCTGGAATCTGTGATTCCATGCCGCTGCCGTCCAGCTCAGCTGTTCTACATGCTTCAGTAACATTCAGGGTGTGTAGACGGCTAAATATCCCGTAGGCCTCTCCTCTGCCCACATTACAGTGAAAGCATCCCGTCTTTGGCATGAAAGGCCCGTGACTCAGACTTGTATATTTTCAGCTCTTTGTAAATCCGTTTGGTGCAAGCCTAGTCTAATGCCAAGGGCACACTTCCTCTCTTCCCCTCCCCGGTTTCCTGTTTTGCCCATGATGTCATTAGGATGTAAAGAGAGGGTTGTCGGGCATCTTTCCTTGACAAAAAAAGTTCTTCCCACGCCAAGTGAGAACATTAATAATGACTTGACCTCAGTCAAGACCGAAACAAAAGAGCTGAGGGGTTTCCGCTTTATCTTTACTACTGCCTCAATGCTTTTTAAGGCGTGTGGTGTAAGTTGGCCGCACTTATCAGTGTGTGACCTCATACACATCCGTATGTCACAGGCGATGGATTGCCAGCCTTTATATCATCTGACATTTCAAAGGCCACAATTACTCATTGTGGCCAGCCGAACATACAACAATGCTTCTGAATATGTGTCTGAATAACCATAGTAGGGGCAAGTTGAACATTTTCTTGGTTATTTATTAATGATGTTTTCTGAGACTAGTGACTTTTGCAGTTGCTCATACCCTGTAGGGACGTTTTAAGGAAGTTTTTACAGTTATCATTGGGATTTCCACCACTGAATTGAACTGAATTCATTCTTTTTTTTTAAATTCCAATTCAAATCTTGAATTTTAATTGAGTTTGAATTTAGGTAGCAAATGGGGTCTAGAATTGCAATTAGAAATAGTAAAATTAATAAATGAAAAAAAAAAATATATATATATATATAGTTTAAAGGTGTAAAGGTCTTATAGAGCATTACTATTAACTATTAAAATGTTCATTTCTAAACAAATAAAATAATTGATATAAATAATATATTTGTTAGTGTTTTAATATACTTTTCAAAAGTATGGGGTCAGTACATTTTTTTTTTTTAGAAATAAATTGTTTCGCCAAAGACATTAAATTAATCGAAAGTGACCGTAAAAACTTTTACATTTGTTATTAAAAAAATGTCTTCCTAAAAATTTTTAGTAATACATCATTTTTTTAAATTGAAAACGGTTATGTTTACAATATTACTGTTTTATTTATGACTTTTTTTCCTGTATTTTTTATCAAATAAATACAGCCTTGGTGAGCATTACAGACTTCTTTCAAAAAGATTAAGAAATCTTATCAACCCCAATCTTTTGAATAGTGACATTAATATGAATGTATGAATTTAATACATTCTTTCTAAATAAAACTTAATGAATAAATACAATTTTACAGACAAGAATAGAAGAAAACTTTAGCGCTTGAATTTCTCTGAAATATGAATCAGTGAATTCATTGTACTATCCTTGATTTGCATCCTAAAAAGACTTTGGTTCTGAAATAATCTAGTGGTTTTTTTTTTTGGTTTTTTTTCCTGTCTTCTTGTAGGCCTTTTATGTATCGGACCTCTTCAAACCTAAAGCCAAGACTGCCACTCCACCTCCCTCGCCAATCAAGAAAGAGCTCCTCCCCTCTTCTGACATCATAGACAGGAACAACCATCACAACATGGTGTAAGAGGGGGGGAACGGGAGGATCCGTTTGCAGTCTCCCCATCCCTCACCACCCCCCGAATCCCCTGAAGAAACCAGAACAGCCACCTGTGACAGAGGAGTTACGGCCTAGTTGACGCCTCCTCTCTCTCATCTGACAGTAGAATGTAGGGACAGGACAGAGACAATCCTATTGACTCTTATTATAATGACCTCACTATCCTAGAGCCCGATTCGAAAGGCCAAACAGACATAAAGCTAACAAAAAAAGCGATTTCTCCCTCAGAATATTGCGGAGAATGAATTCAGCTCCATTGACGATAGTAATACACAGAATGCGTTAATGAACACCAACGAAAGGAAGAAGAGAGTGAATGTGAGGCTGGTCACGTGACCAGCGCTTCTCTCCTTCCGACCATCTCTTTCTCTTGTCTCTGTGGCCTTTCAGCAACAGTATAGGACAACAAATTCCTTATTAATAGGAATGATTAGTTTTACCTGCGATGTAATTAGCATAGATATATTAACAATATAAAGAAGAATAACTTATAGCACTATATCCAAGTTCATTAAACGTCACCACTCGCTATCTGAGAAGTGTAGCTTTGAGAAGCTTGATGAAGATCATATTTACCCATCAAAGCTGATCTTAGTTACCCGAACAGTGGCCTAACTTTTGGAGAATGCATTTTAAAGGGTTTTAAATGGCGGGTGGGTGGGTTTACATGACTTTTTTTCTTAGATAAATAGATTTTTATTTTAGATATTGATTTCACGATGGCCACTGCCAATCCCTGGCTAAATTCTGGGGGCGTGGCTGAGCCGTGCCGCCTCGCTGTCTTCTGATTGGTCAGAGCGAACGCAGGGGGCGGGGTTAGACGTCAGGGAGGTGTGTCTCATCACCACGGTCACCGGGATTGACTCCCACTGACCGCACCGGCATATTCTTTTATTTTTGGAACCGGGAACGAGCTTCTTCCGCTGGCTGGTTTGACCTCTTTCCCTTCCAACTGCATAATCACTCAACTCTAGTTGTGTGTTTTTACCCAGAATGCCACCTGTGCCCAATGCCTGTCCTGGTACCAGTCAAACTGCCCCGAAAAGGGGACGTGGGGTCCCTCGGCAGGAAGCTGTGTCTCATTTGTGTGTGTTTGTAAGTGTCGCGTGTGTTTCCGCACCCGGTCCTGGTGCAGTGGACCGATACCATGTGAAGAAACTTAAGAAAACTGTGGACTTTTTTTTTTTCAAATTTTTTTTTTCCAAATGCCTTTTCCTATCGTGATGATGTCTACTGTCCCCACTAACAACTGTACAGTATGCCTGACTATTACAGAGAACACATCCATACAACACAACTCAAGCTCCAAATGTGTTGCACATCCCTCCCATTGTATAGTCCGTCCTATCATTTCAAACCGTTTTATTTCTCTCTCAGAAGTATATAAATAATGTATAGATCACTAAAATTAACTATGTAAGATATTATTTCTAAACATGTTTAGATATATCCACTATGAATCTAAAAAGCAATGTGTCATGACCTGTGTTATTTACAAAGTGCTGCTTTTATGAGCATTGATTGACAGATTTTTTGTATTTAGGTAACTAAAATATTGTAGATTTGTGTTAGTATGTTTTTAATAAGCGTTGAATAAAACACATACAATTGTATCAAATTCACTATTAGTATTTTTGTATTGTCTCATTTTGTACAAAAGAAATAATAGCAAAATGTTTTAGTTTTTTTTCTGCTAAATGTACTTCGCTCTAATACATGTGCTTTTAAATAAAAGCTCATTATAAACAACAACAAAAAGTGTTTGGTTTCTTAATGAATGTTTGTTATTATTGACTGAAATTGGAATTGTCTTAGTGTTCGATGAGTAAAGAAAGATGTGTAAAATTTCAAACAGAATATTTTTTTTTTTATGATTTATATTTTAAAATGTCATTTAAACTTGAATTTTCAAAATCATTACTCCAGTCTTCAGTGTCACATGATCCTTCAGAAATCATTCTAATATAATGATTTGCTGCTAAAGAAACATTTATTAATAATATCAATGTTAAATGTTGTGCTGCATTTATTTAAAATATACATTTTTGTCAACTTTCTTTAAAAAAAAATCTTACTGACACCAATCTTGTGTGTTTGGTGTTTTAAAGGGGTCATAGGATGCCCATTTTCCACAAGTTGATATCATTCTTTAGGGTCTTAATGAAAAGTCTGTAACATAGTTTGGTTAAAATTTTTCAATGGTATTGTAAAAAACACCTTTTTTACCCTGTCAAAAACAGCTCTGTTCAGATCAAGCTGTTTTTGTAGCATTTTCCTTTAAATGTTAATGAGCTATGCTGACCCCGCCCCTCTCTTCCGAGCTGCTCTCAGAGAGACTGTTTACTTCAGCCACATTCATCGTGAAACTTGCTAATTAGCACATTATTAGGAAAGGCGATTTGCAAAGATTCATTACAAAACATTATACTCACTTCTTCTGTAGATAAAGCTGGATCACGAATGATTCGCGCGAACATAGACGCATTTATGTAGATCGGGGACGCATTCCCTTCAGAAACAAAC